ATTTCCCACAGTTTAAATCAAGGTTGTGTGTACCCAGGCAGGTGTCTGTACACATACGCGAAGATGTCTCAAAAATCACCGTTGCAGTCTCCTCATTTTATTGCACATCTTACCCATCCGAGCTACTAGAGCCCTGGGGTGCACTAGTAACAGAAGAGTCACTGAAACATGGAGCACCAGTACAATATCAGACCACCCCTCTCAGTCACGGACACTTTTCTAGCTTGATAACCAGCTGGGAGGAAGACAGGGGTGCAAGGTACCCTGAAATGCATGTGCTACTATTTTATTTGGGTGCAGTCCCTAACTCAACCAGCTGTAGGGCCAATTGCTTTCAAAGTGGGGTGCAAATAGGCTGAACTTGATCATCAATTCCAGGCCACTGGGTGATGTTTTCTTTCATCCAGTAGAAGCTATTAGGGATCTAACTCTTTTCTGTCTTCTGAGCAATCTCAAAAGAGGGGTCTTTATCACATTTGTAAGGGGCAGACAAATTTCTCAACCTCAGAACTGGTAGCCCAAAATCATCCTGTATGGCTGAAGACCACCAGGACATACACCGTAAGTGGAAGGAAGACAAGAAGCCGCTGTTGGAGTGGTTAGCAGTGTGGGGCATCACACTAGATTTCCGAAGAGATCCTCCTGAGCACCGTACAGTCACAGATGGCTGCTACAGCCAGCCTAGCAAAGCAAACTGTGCTTCAGAGTGCTCCCAGGCACCGGCCACGACCGTCTGGCCTGCTGCAGTTAACGGGTCCTTGGCACACTTTTGACCCGTGCCAACTAACATTTGCTTGACCTGTTTCCCGAGGCCATCTGGCAGTAGGCACGTCCCTGGGACCGTCCCCGGTAGGCATACAGCCACCTCTTCTGGGAGGCTAGGAGAGGTCACTAGCGTGGCGCGGGCCGCTCCGAGTCAGTTGGCTGCAGGACCTGGGACTGTTCCCTGCCCCACCAAATGTGCCAGTCTAACTCCTGATCTGAGTCTGCAGCCAGGTTCCTAATATAACCCAACTGGTCCTGCTGGCCCCCAGTTTTTTCACCCATGGGGCTTGACAGTACCTGTTATCAGAGCCAATCTTTGTCTGAAAACAGCATTGCAACCAGCTGTTTGTGCTTTATGCAATGGGCTAGTGTCCTGGCTCACCATCGTGAACGCAGGTTTACCAAAACACTTGAGCAGCATGTTTGGCTATGAAGAGAAATCCTAAGGATTGAAACTCCCAGAGCTGCAGAGACCTCCCCATGTAAAACTGAGCAGTGGGACAGAAACAAATGCTCCTAAACTGTGACTTGTGACTTTTCTCTTTTGGTCTTGCTGTTGCCACACAGGGTTCTCTGTATCTGCCCCCCAGAAGCCTGTAGAAGGGCAGAGCTGAAAGTGAGCTGTGGGAACTGCTGTGCTGGTGTGTTGTAATTAAGCTTTTACAATAGTCCTAGCATTTTTGCCTGTGGAATGAAGGGGTTATCCTGCGTACAGGGCCATGTTTGAAAAACATGGCTCACGATAGCCAGCTATATTTTCATTACATGCACTTTTCAGAGGCAGTTTTGATGCCACTAGCCATTACTTAAACGGGGCTTTAGCCCAACTCAAGTGAACAAACCCTTGAGAGGGTCCGTGTCACCACACGCTAGCAAAGATGGTGGGGCTGCAGGTGACCCCCTCCTGCCTGTTACACCCCCCCAGACAGGCCCTGTCCCCAGCCTCTGTCCATCATGGCTCCGTACCTTGTGGAGAGGCTTGGCTGCGGCTCCCCGTGCAACAGAGCCAGGCCAGGAGAGGACCAAGGTGGCAGGAAAGGGAGGAGCGTGCCCCATCTTTAATCTGCCACGTGCTCTCACTTCTCTGCCTCCCCTGCCTGTCACATACAGCCCCTTTTGCATTTGGTTTTACCTCTCCTGTGTTAAACTTAAATGTCAGAAGAAATATTTTCGCCTTGACTTTTTTATCTGTCTTTGTGGCTTTGCTCTTCTCCGGTCCCTTTGTCGTGTGCAGGCCGTCATCCATTGCAAGAAGAGGCAATCCGTGTAATAGCTGCTGATTTCTGAGGGGAGAATGACCTGGGAGAAATGTCCTAATCCCATGTCTAGCATTTGATTTAACCCTGAATGAACGAGCAAGACATTAAGGAATTTCTCGATCGCAAGGTACATGCAGGCTGTAGCTGGGCTTGCACTTGAGAGGAGACTCAGAAAGAGGAAAAAATATATATTCCCTTAGAAACCTACTAGTGGTGTAAAACTAAGTATCCGGTCATACTCAATTGAAAAAAAAATGCAAATCAAATATTTTTCAAACATCTACCTTCACATGTTCTAGAGTACCGATAAATAAGTCCTGTTTACAATTCTATACGAATGATATCATCTCATAATTTGTGCACGTGGTTGTAGCATTTGCAGCATGTCACAGGAATCACCAGTGGGATACAGCCCGCAGAGCTCAAGCGTTTACTTTGAAAGGTTTGGACATTTAAAGTGAGCTCATGGTGAATTTCATACTGGCTGCTTTATTTACATGCTGCCTATCAGAAGAGATCAAGCATTTCTGTTTTCCTGGCTCTCTTTGGAATATAATAGCAGCTTTCAAACTGGCCACATGTTATCTATGTATTTTCAGTTATAAATAGGGTCATGTTTGTGAGTTAATGGGTTTAGTTCTGGAAGTGCCAAAACTTTGATCAACACATGTAAAACAATTGGCTGAAAACAGCGATTTTGATCAATGCTTTATACATCAGTGTGCATTACCTGCCGCATGACAGGAAACATAACCACTGCTGAAACCTTTTAATATCTGCAAGAGGGAAAACGGTACTTGGAAATTTTAAAGAGATTAGATAACAAAAGAGCACTTGAGGCAGTACTCCTTACAAGCACTTGCAGGATATGTAATCCAGTTACAGGACCTGCAGCACAAATCATCGTAGCTTCTTGATTTCTTCCAAAGTTTATTCAAGCAATAATCCAACTACCTAGAATCTCATTTATATTACAGCAGTCCTGGTTTTCTTTCTATGTATGTTGTGTATTTTGTTTACATAGCCAGTGGTGGGTTTATATTTGGGAACTTCAGCTATAAACAAAATCAATTCCTTGATTTGCTATCGAATATTGGTAAGGTAAAGATCCTGGTCTCACTGAGGACAGCAGAACTATTGCCATTTCAGCCGCAGGGTCACATATAAACAACCAACTGTTGGCTTTGCCACGCAGGCAGGCGTCCTGTGAGTAACTCCTGTGGAGTCAATGGGGACGTCAGAGCTGCACAGGCAAGCTTTGTATTAAACAAGATGTTAGCTGGAATACAGTAACACATTTAGGTTGAATAAAGCCTCCATTCTTTAATCAGTGTAGCTGTCAAACTAAGGCAACTGTAACTTCTTAGTTTACATACCAGCATCACCCAGGGAAGAAATTTACCTCTGACTGAACACAAAGAAACCTCATCTACTCAAATTATACCTTATTTGAAAACACAGGCGTAGCATGGTTGTTGCCTGGGGAATGGAGGAGATACAGCATGAGTATTTCTAAACATTTCCAGCCTCACCCATTTGTTGACAGACCCTTGAGTTATTTTGGAAGCTCCGTCTCTGCCGCCTGCCATGTCAGTTATTATATTGAAAATTTAATTGTACAAGGGCTTTGACACTGAACTTTATAAATTTGTTCCAACTGACCTTGTCTCAGCTATTTGCCAGCCTGGCACGGAGCCTTAGCGGTCATTATTTGTTCTCATGTAGTAGGTAGGAGCAGCATGGAGCAGGAGATAGAATGGACCTGACATTGTACATGACTGTAAATGAAGAAGCAGCTTTAAATAAAGAGATTAGTATGCCCGCCACAAGGAGTATTGCGTTTCTCTCAAACAGGCCAAATTTAGGTTGTACAGAATTACTTCTTTGTACCCTGGGTGTGTCTGTTTGTTCTGTAATGTTTTCCAACATCTATTTAAATTTATTTCTGTTTCACCATTCACTTAATTACTCCTCTGTGGAGACATTTTCAAGAAAAGTTTTAGAGCGTGGCTTTCATGTTCTGAACAAGGTACAAGTCACTACAACACATTAAAAGCAGAAAAAGTGTATCAGAGTACAGATCACCATCTGGATGTTTCATGAAGTTTCAGAAATCTGAAGCACACTTTTAAATATTTCCCGGAAAGCATCACAATGGTAAAGCAAAACAGAGGAAAAGCAAAAGCCAATGAATATATGACAATATTTCTAGCACCATATCTGCAAAAGGTTCAGTAGACTTCATCCTTTTTAACACAAGCGTGAGAGCTTGCGTATCACCTGCAGACTCTGAAGAGCTACGACGCGCAGCTGAGCTCCCTCTGTTGGCTCTGCAGCAACTGAACTGTATTTAATAACTTCTTTTTCAAAACAAATACATCGCATTAGCAACACTAATCTCTATTTAAAAAAACTTTTTCTTCCACTGCTAAAAAATGTGAACCTCAGTGCTGCGTAGAATCGTTGGAATAAACAATATGTAAGAAAAGGTAAAACGAGCACAGAGACTCAGAAGTCAGTTTTACTTTTTGCTCTTAGAATGGATGTCTAGCATGTGGAAATCCAAATCAGCTTGCAGCTCAGTGATTTACAGGTCCTGAAAGAGAATCTCTGCCTGAGTTTCTTACACTTTTTTATTCCATACTTTCAAATAATTGGGAAAGGAAACAAATTCATACCCGGTCTGTAGAGGGGTTCTGCTCAAAGACGATCAGTGTGAGTGAGGTGATGGCTCCAAAGGAGAGCTGCCTGTGGAGAGCCCGCTGACGAGGAGACTTGTAAACAGTATGTCAGGTCTCAGGGGTGAGGTTGCAAACAAGATGGAAATGTAGAATCTCCGGAAAATGAAAAATGGATATGGCAACTCATGTCCATCCTTTGGGGTTGTGTTCTTGGTGATAACTTCTAATATCCATTGTGTAAGAAGTCCACTGTTCTTTTCTCGGAGTCAATTTTCTCTATTTCTTTTTCTTCTAGACGTCTGGATGCCAACCACATCAACTATGTGCCCCCCAACTGCTTCAATGGGTTGGTCTCCCTTAGACACCTGTGGCTAGATGATAATTCTTTGACAGAAATTCCCGTCCAAGCTTTTAGAAGTTTACCAGCACTTCAGGCAATGACATTGGCGCTGAATAAAATTCATTACATACCGGATTATGCTTTTGGAAACCTCTCTAGTTTGGTAGTTCTGTAAGTTTTGTTGATTGTTTTTAGCCACAATCTCTGCTTCTTTGCAGGACTTGGACCATTTTGTGATGAATTACTTGAAGATACAGTATTTAAATTAGAGGCTGCCTGAGACAAATTTTAATAATTAAATATTCCCCTAGTCCCTCCCCAGTTGGCAAATGATAAACCCAGATATATACATGGGTTAGTTAGTTTGGTCTTACATTCTTAGTATTAAATTGACAACTTGGGGCTATAAATCTACCATTTCCTTTCTACATTTGCATTAGCCTTAGTGATATTCGTTTACCAAGAGGTCAATTCCATTTCTTGCAAAAAATTTTCTTTTTGCAAAATAAATTTTCTGGATTGTATATGTACTGCAAAACAAAATTTTTAACAATTGTCTCGGATAAACAGATTTTTTACATCTTCCTACAGTAGAGCCAGCATTTGCTAAATCACTTGTTTTGATCTAGCTTAAAAGTTTCCATCTCCAGTAAAGAACTACATCAGGGAATTAAAAAAATCACCCTACCTGGTCAGCAAAACAAACAGGAAGAGATGACTTGTGTGCCCTCTACTGAATGAGGGAAGATTTGAAAAAGGAAATGAACTGTAAGCTTTCTGGGTGACTTGGAAAGAATGCTGTCCAGTAGAAAAAGTATGCATTTCCCTTCATAGAAAGTATATATAGTTTTGTATTTTGTTATTTTTGCGTACCAGTTCAACCAAATGAAACATGCGTAGCTCGCACCAAAATCTGGAAGGAATACTATGGGACGCAGTTTCAGCTTTTTATCTTCTGGGAATGTACCAAGTGGAAAAAATTCTAGACTGGCTGGGGAAACTGAGGAGGAGAACCGAGGTGGAGAAGCTATGTCAGTATGCTGTGGAAAATGCTAGCATTATTAAAGAGAGAATAATATGTTCAAGGCTTACTTGCCTTCAAGTCTGAAAGCACAGTCCATAAGACACTTAGCATATTTCAGCATATTCGAGCCCCAATGTAAGCACTGAACCTGGTGCACGCCAGGGTTCTCTACTGACAGTTATAATCACTATCTTTGCCTAGTGCTTAATATATTCATATAGGCATATAGGGCACTGGAATTGGAAGGTAACAGCTGCCTAGTGATGCAAAATCTTTGCCTTCTGTTTGCATTAAGTATCAATCCCATTCAAGTTAAAGAGTGGATGAACTTGTAGTTTGACTGAGCTTCTAGACTCATCTCAGTAATGCTAAAGAGAAGAGACTGTCCTGAACGTCATTCTCTAGATCTCTACGAGAAATACAGTGATAAGAGTTAAGGAGAAAATTACTTCTTTTCATGCCCTGATTGCTTCTGCTCAGTCAGGTTTCCTTATTTGAGATCTGCCTTGCTTATTTCTAATCTTCTGGGCTTCATATTGATTAATAATTGAATCATTCCTTGTGATCTACAATATTTGATGTATTTGGCTCATCAAAATCTATGTGTGTGGTTCTCCATTCTTTTGTTTGCTACTCCATTCAGTCCGGCAAATTTTCAACTCAGTGCAAAAATGCATGGTCAGTCGAGGCAGGTTTGAAGCTCTGTCATTATAGATCAAACATAATTGGAATTTGGAGATGCACTCTTCATGCTAAGTAAAGCATTAAAGGTCAGTGTAGTCATTAAAAAAAAAAAAAAGTTGATTAGTTTTCTTCCTAGGAAAGGAAAAACCCACAGAACATTTGCATTTTGCCATCAGAATCGCTGCCTTTTATGGACAGGTAGACTCAAGTTCTGTAGGTTCTGCAGAACATTCAGAGAGCCTCTGACCTTTACATTATTTTCAGAGCAGAATGAAGCATTGAAGGAGAAGTGCCTGGCAGCCCCTCATTCACGGCCCTTCTTTTCTTTTAAAGTGCTACTCCTGTTTCCCTCCACTATAAGGGTAGAGTGTCAAGAATAAAATAAAAGGAAAAATCTGGGAAAAAGGCATTCTTTTTAAAAGACAACCTGAAGTGGCTCCAAGTTGTATCTACTCACATTAATGAGTTTCGCACAGAGTGGGTTTTTTCCATGCCGGTATAAAAGACTTAGACATAGGCAGCACTCTGAGCCTTTGTGTAGAGCGGGTGGTTGAAACATATAACAAAATTACTTTCAATTGCTAAACGTTTGAGAAAATAGTTGTCAATTTTTATAGTTTCAAAGGAAGGCAAGTTACAGCACTTTTAAGATTGGTTAGCTTACTCAGTGAATCTATGACTTTTTTGTCCTATGACTTTGTGTCTTCTTTCATTCTGCAAGCCTAACACCCCTTTCCTGTCTGCCGTATTACCATTGTCCTCACCTGCTCCTCTTCTGTGCCAACATCCTCTAACACCTTCTGAATATACATCTTCCAAATATAGACCTCACACCCCAAACTCAGTTTTTAAGGCTACCTGTTGCTTAACCGCCACTGAGAATATGTCTACAATTTCCCAGGACTCAATATGCAAACCCCAACCCAGAACTCCAGTATATACCCTTTTTTAAACAATCTAGGTGGTTTTAAAACAAATCCCTTCTATGAAACCAAATGGAAGCCTGCGTGGATGGGGAGATAGCGGGGAAGAGGGGGGAAGGCGGCAGAGATGCCTCCTATACATGCTCTTGCAAAAGCATGACTTGCATATAATCAGTGCATGCCTGAAAATGAGTTTCTTTTGATTTAACCATCAAAATGTTTTGCTTAAGTCCACTGTGTGCAGTGTGCTTTCCTGACTGTGTGCTTAATGTTCCCCCGCAGACATCTCCATAACAATAGAATCTACTCCCTGGGAAAGAAATGCTTTGATGGGCTCCACAGCCTAGAGACTTTGTGAGTTGACCTCTTATTTGTTTCCCTTTTTTTTTCAGTGTTTGCATTAATATTCTGAAAGAATAAAAATCGCGTAAAAGCCAAATGCGGGTTTTGGCTTGCCTAATCGCTACAGGATCTAAGTGATGGTTTACAATGACTCTATGTACCAGATCCTATTTTTGACTATAAAATCAGTTTGCCTTTTTAATAAGCATTGTCAATTGATAAATTGTTTGAAGGACAGTTGAAAACTGTACTGAGCATTGAAAAAAAAACCTGGTTATTCATGAACAGTTATGTTAGCCTAGTTTAGTATTATGTATTTGTCTTGTTTAATCAATAAAGCTAATAGCTAGATTGGGTAATTATCACAATGAAAATCTTTAACATTAAGAAACTGTCTTGCCATAGAGAAGGGCTATAAAATTAGATGGTTTTATTTTTTTATCGTTGGAAGAAGCAAAAGCGCCAGGTAGCCAAATTATGCTTGTGTTTTACAAGGGGGGAAGAGGAATGTTTCAGTTGTATCCAAGTTTTTGTATTTAAAGAGGTCTGATAAAGAGTAACACTGGTAAAGTTTTTTACCATAGTTCTGTTCAGACAAATTCAAATTTTCTTCAGTTCTGTAGCAAAAAATAATTCTACAGAAGAACACCAAACAGGAACACAGTGCTGATAGGGAACACAGTGCTGATAGTTAGCGCAAAGTATTTTGCTACAGAGTAATCAAATAAAGATGTTGTCTGCTAGAGTAGACCACAGACCCAAAAAGTGCTACAGGGACAGTAAAACCTTGCATATCCTTCCCCCTGGGACCTGCCAGAATCAGTTGCATCATTTTTAGACATTTTGGATATTTCACCCAAGCAGGACTGAGGCTAAAAGGCCTGTTATGAGGTACAAATAAACGAAGTTTCAAACATGAATAAGGCTAGTCTGAAGGTGACTATTTGTTTTCTCATCCACAGAACTATGTATTGCCCGCTTTCACGTGTCCTTAAGATCAGAAAGCAAGAAGTTTTGGGCTTTTTTATTTTTTTATCACTACTTTTGATTACATTGATCCCTTGGCACTGCATTGCAATTTTATAATTTTGACTTTTAGCCGGCTGTGAGTTGAGAGGAAGTCCCTTAGTGTAGCACCGGAAAGGGGGACGGGAAAGGGAGAAGGAAAATGTAATCATTTGCTTTGTTTTTTTAAGTGAGATTCACATGGCACTTGGTCAAAAATGGGGAAAAACAGAACAATGGAATAAGTAATTGCAAACCCAGTCCCAGCCACCTGGCATGAGAGAGATGAAAACAGAGGACAGTCATGAACCTGGGACTAAGTGTAGGTGCAGCCACTTCACTGCAATAGGAGAATGTAGCGCTTGCCTCAAGCACAGTAATTGCGTACTGTGTAGACCGGTTTCCAGATAGTTTCAAGATAATCTAAAGAGATCTCAGTGTAAATGATGGACGCCAGCTTTAAGATCATTTGTTTGCATCGACACATAGGTCTGGAAATCACATATCACTGGAGGGCAAAACCAAACCATACATGCCTGTAATCTCTTTTTGTCAATAAGCAGGAGAGGGAGATTTGCAAGCAGGAAGGAAAGCCTTGTTGAGTTCAGACAGCAGTTTCCTGCCTGCATTACTTCAGCCTGATACTATTTCAATTTCAATCTATTGTAAACTGTGATTTGTGTTTTGCCTGTTCAAAACGGCTTTTGCTCAAGTTTTTCAGACTATATTCTTCACAAAGCAGTGCCAGAGAGCATCCCAGTCAACTGGCATGTCTCAGTTTTAGTTTCAAGTGTCTCCTGAATGCTGAAGGATGCACATGTCACGCTGGGGGCAGAAGCAGGCTTATAGTCCATTCAGCCTACCAGAATTAAGTCTAATTACCGCTGCACCGTGAGCAGTTCTTAAAGCAGGAGTCACTACCCTAGCTAAACTACTGTTTTTACAATTTGTGTGGTTAGAAACATTCTCCATATGAATATTGAAAAATCTTAAAATTAATGGCACAGTTAATAGTAATGTTGAACTTACTGTATGTTTTCCCACTTGTTTTAGCCAGAGGAAGATTTCCCCCAATTTTTACCCTCCAAAGTCCAGTATCTCTTATTTTTACGACTTAACAATTGGGAAAAATCTCTTCAGAGATTTTTTATCAGAAAAAAAAAAAAAAAAAAGATAGACTACTACAACTAGACAGTGAGTCAGAGGCAAATGAAACCTTTATAGTGAGATGTGTTAGCCATGTAAAATGCAGCTCACCATAAAAAGTTGTTGAATACTTTGTTTGAAGGATTCTTTTTTTTCTGGTTAATACTTTCAAGTAATGAAAAGGATGGGCAATTTACAAAACAGCAAATCCCTTAGTAGTATCTGAATATACTTATCTTTCTTTATTGCAGAATAGCTAAGATATAACTAAAAATAGGATGCTGATAAAAAAAACCAGGAATGATAATGTGCCCTAAATAGAGTTTGTTGGAAAACATCCATACACTTTTGAGGATTTCCTGGCTTTTGGCTGTATGTATTTATTCAATGCATGGGAGATGATATTTCATTACAAATGCCAACAATTCTATGTTATCCGTTATGCAGTGCATAACCTAAATAATAAAATATATTTTCACACAGAGATTTAAATTACAACAGTCTGGACGAGTTCCCCACTGCTATCAGGACACTAACAAACCTAAAAGAACTGTAAGTACAAAGCTCATATTAGGAAGGAGGATGTTTTGTCTAGTGTGTGATTATTTTTTTTTAATGCTGGTGATTTTATCAGTAATCCTTAAAACTGATATCCTGGGAAAAACTAATAAACATGTCAACATGCATAAAACATCATTTTCAACATTAAATTTAGAGCATTCAAGTTACGACAACTTTTACTTTTATACTTCATTGTGCAGTGGGGTTTTCCAGGAACTTCATCCTTGGAATACAGTAAATAATAAACACAATTGATTCACTTGAGTCCTAAACACAGCAGTTGCATTTTGCAAACAATTCAATATATCACAGTCTTCTAGTCTAAGAAAAGGTATGGCCATCTAATTAGTCCATCAGTTTTAAATGTATTCTCCCTTCCCTTCCCTCATTAAATTAAAGCAGTTTCTTTTCAATATAAATAGTCCTTTGTACTGCTGTAAATAAAACACTTCTGGATGCACAGATGTAGTTTGCATTTTAAAAAATCAACCATGAAAAGAAACTAGCCAAGTTTATTGTAAGAAACAGCTGTATTATAAAAAGTGAATGAAATTACATTTGCACATCATGCACACAATGTACACATCAATGCATATGTTCAGAATTCTTCCTATTTGAATTAGTTACCATGATACTGGTACCATCAGCATAGATTTTGGAACAAACCTAGGTAATCATGTACTAGTTGGCCATGGTTGAACCCCTGCTACATCACAAACTGATCCTAAAGCCACTTTCAGTAGCTACCTGGGATTTTTTCCAAAGCAGGGATGCCCAGGCAGTGTTGACTGCAGCTCAGCACCTCCAGTGCTGGCAGAGAATGCTGCTCTGGAGGAGGCACTGGGGCTATGGGGTTCTCAGCCCAACTGTTCTCTGCTGCTGTCAGCTAAAATAATTGGTATGAAAACAGCAGCCTCAAAGGATTGCCTTTTTGCTGACCTCTGGAATCAGCAGCCAAACATGGATAACCCAGGTTTGCAGTAAATGCACCTTGTCCAGTCCAGCAAACTGCCTGATGTGCTTGAGATTACTTACTGGCCCTGCAGGACTTCACCTCTAAGTATCAAACTTGTTGTTTCAGATAAGGTCCTAGGTGCAAGAATCTTTGGAGTGTGAAATTGCAACCTGACGTCCCAAATCCAGCACAGACCATGATACCATGTGCTTCAGTGCTTTGTTTGGGCCCTGGAAGCTGATCTCATACTCGCAACGTGTCTCCCACGAGGCTGTGCACACCGCGCCGTTCTCACCCAAGTGGGAGCCCCGGCCCACAGAGGTTCAGCTCGTTGCAGGGCCACCTTAGGAAGGGTGTTTCTGGGTGGGACCTCATTTCTCTCTCAGAATTCGTGTCTGGGATGAAAACACAGACTATGGCTTTTTCTCTACAGCTTGGAGGTATCCAAGGCAGCCAGTCAGAGCTGGAGATCTGCTGGCAAGTGGCCAGCGAGTCAAGGCCATATCTGCTTGATGCTGCAGGGACACCATTGTCCCAGATGCTCTGCACGTCAAGGTCTTAGCTATAGGAGTAGTTATATGGGTATAGCTGTTAGCTAAAGTTAATGCATACGTAATGTTTTCCAGACTGGATTTTGAAGATACCTTTGAAGCGTTTTTCCCAGTGTGGCCTTACTATAGTCTTTTTACCCAGGGGTGCAGATAGATTTTACTGCTCTTTCGCTCAGTATGTGAACTGATGGGCCATAAAGCGCCCTCAGTTCAGACAGGGTGCATCACTCGGGTACAACGCCCCGGGACGCAGGCTGCAGCCGTGAGCGCACCCTCTTCCAACCAGCTCACATGTGCTTCAGGCTCTTCTGTGCAGAAATGCTCTGGAGTCTGCTCCTGGCTGATGAGAGGGCTTCTTCCTCACCCTGACTCAAGTCCGAATGGTGACGAGGGGCCAGATACTGCCCTGGGAAGTAGTCATGGCATTTCCTTAGCTTTTATGCCAAGAAGGAGTCCTGTGCAATACAGCCACCAAACCCGTCTGTTTACTGGTTCTAGATTAAATGGGATCCCTTTACTGCTTAGAGTCTGCATCTGCATGGGTGCAGTTTTTACTGCATGCAAAAGAACTCAGGATTTAGAGCCTTGCTCTGTAGCTCATCAGCAGTAGCACGATGCCTGAACAAGTAAAACCAATAATGTGGGACCTGTTCAAGTAATGGGCAAGTGTGCTTGCCTCAGTGAACAATTTGAGGCTTTCTAAATGCATAAATTTAAGCTGGGAAGCCTTTTTCATACCCGACTGAACTAATGGGAGTTTCCCACACAAATCATCATTGTTCTTTTGAAATCTTAGTTGTTTCTTTTGTTTTTCACAATGGAGAATTACTCATATGAATAAAATCCAGTAATTAATGATGAGGCAAATATCTGGCCCTCCATCCAGCAGGCACAACTACATTGGATAGTTTGATCATGTACACATTTAAAATATTTCAACAAAAAGGTGGTCATGGGAGGCTCAACATATTACAATATAATGAATAAAATCATTTACTTGATAGACTTGTGCAATCCATTACTATCCCAGCAAAAGAAATAGTTGCAGTTTAACAAGTACAGGGTGAAATATAGATACACTACTTTATTGCTATTTGTTTAATTATTAATATTTAACTATTAATGCTGTTAGTTCAGATGTGTGTGTATGTGTATGTGTGTAAATTTACATTACCTCTATATACATAGATTCATAGATACATGACAGACAGCTACAAAGCAGTTTCCTACTGAGGACATCCAAATTTTAAAATGCCCTTTTACAGTTTACTTTATCTCAATGGGTTTGTTCATTCAGAAAAGTGCAGAATTCCAGCATTTCATCGCTTTTCTTTTCTTTTGCTTTTTTCAGTTGTCTTATTCCAGAAAACAAGGTCATACCTTTACATACAAACAAAAAAAAAAATGTTTTGCATTGTGAATACAGATTGTGCCTTCACTTTTTTATTCTTATTGTGTAAACCATTTTTCCTTTTGTAGGGGATTTCATAGCAATAACATCAAGTCAATACCTGAGCGTGCATTTGTGGGTAATCCATCACTTATTACAATGTAAGTGATAATAGTCTTTTCAATGGTTTTTCTTGTTAGAGAACGTGGAACTAAGTCTTGTATTTGTAGCTAATTGTCAAATAGGTCTCCTTGTCAGCGTACGGTGTAGCACATCATTACACAAGCAAACAAGTTCATATCTTTCCAACTTTGTGGAAAAAATGGCAGTTTGCATGCCCTGTTTAAGGGAAGCAAGTAGTGGTCTTTGGCCTTTGACCTTCTATTTTAACTACTTTTTCTAAGCCTCAGCATTACTGGCAATGTAGAAGCTAGCAAAAATTACTCTTGATGGATTCCAGGCTAAGTTTCCATTGTTTTACATGAGAATGCATTTAATGGGCAAACCTCAAAATAAGAAATTGTAAATGTAAGAAAAATAGTGACTCATCTTGAGCAATATAATTCTATGAGCAAAAGCAGCATGGCTTCAAAAGTGCAAGGGAACCTCTTCTGAGCATGTGAAGTTCTGACTTCTTCACCTGCTAACCTTAAATTTGTCTCACTCAGGTCATAACAAAGTTCTTCATATTTGGATTTCTATCTTTGCAAACCTGGGAGGAAGAGGGAATATTTTCCTGACTGCTTTCTGGCTTTAAAACCAAGAAAACAGTGACTACTTGAATATTCAAAATGTGAAATATGGTTGATGGATATAGATTAATGGGTAAGAAAAGCCCAGAGATGCACCTCTGCTACAACCAGAGGTGCACAGTCTGTGATTCATCATAGAGAGTTTACTCACTTGCTTATAGTATAATCATGTAATGTATTTAGAATCTTTTAAAATAGTTTTCATAAAATGTCTTTTTATCCTCTTTCTGCAGACGTTTTTATGATAACCCTATCCAGCTTGTTGGAAAATCTGCTTTTCAACACTTACCAGAACTCAGAACTCTGTATGTATTTACTTTTTTATGTTAATTGTCTTTATATATTGCAATATTAGAGTTGTCCCACACTTCCCTCACCACAGTTGTATTGAAATAATGTTTTTAATTCTAGGACTTTAAATGGTGCTTCACAGATAACAGAGTTTCCTGATCTGACAGGGACTACAAGTCTGGAGAGTTTGTAAGTGCTAGAGAAGTATTTTTGCTTTGTTTTATTTTTTTTGCATACTGACTTATTCTAAAGAATGTCCTAAAATATATTTGGTTTACAATCTTTAAAAAGTAGTCTTTTTTTGTCTTTTTTTTTTTCCTATAAATACTTTCAACAGGACACTCACAGGAGCACAGATCACCTCTCTCCCCAAATCAGCTTGTGACCAGTTACCTAATCTCCAAGTGCTGTACGTTTCAGTAAGATTATTAACATTACATTAATGCAAGAAATTAATGGACAAATTAAATCATTATGATTTCAAAATTATCCAATTACTGCTATTCGTGTGTATCATGTTACTTCTTAGGAATCCAGCTCAGGGAGTTACTCAAAAAGTTCACAACCCACTTATCAGTCAGGATTTCCCATACGTTGCGGAAAAAGATAATTACTTTGCATATTTTTAGGAAAGGGTAAAACGGTTCTTTATTTTGTTTAAAAACCAACAGAGCTACCTTATTTTCATTCATTCTGTCTCTCCTACAGTAGTCTGGGGGTTTTTTTCCTCACTGAGGCAGATAATTCAGTGAAGTGAATGGAAAATATAACTGAGTCAGGAGTGCAGTTTTGAGTCCTTGTTATGTTCCTCTTTTAGTTTCTTTTCCAACCAGACATAACTAGCTGACTGAAATTTTAATAGACTATTCCTTGGCATAGTCGGGGCATAGTATCCAATATTATTTTAGCTTGGAAATTTCCTTGGAGTTTGCTTAATCACTAACGAAAGTAATCATTGTGTCTGCTTCTTTGAGAATGAGCCAACAGCACTTTCCTCTATGTATTACATCACTAGGAATGTATTTGGTATTAGTTCTCTGGCCAACATTGAAATAGCACTAATTATAACACATTATTTGAATACCAGTATGGATGTCATGAACATTTCCAGAAAAAATTAAGTTTTAGTTGATGGATTCAATATAATCATTTCCAGAATGATAAAAGGCAGAAAAAGAGTCTGTTGCCAGAAGAAAGTCTGCACACAGACTTAAGTTTAAATATGTTCTGTATTATTCAAAACCAATAAATAATCTCAAAACAGAAGGCAAATAAATACTATAGTAATTAATAACTTGTACAGTTTATAGTAGAGTAGGATTGTCCATTGGAAATGCACATTTTTTATTTTTGAGTATCACCCTGTATTATTAGAGCTGAAATTTAAAAGGGTGGGGAACCAATTTGACAGCAATTTCGTGTACTCTTGAGTACATGAAAGAGTTGCTCTTTCCCCATTCCCATCAGATTGGAATGAGCCTGCCAAGCCCACATTTAGGTTTGCACATTAGTTTTGCCTGTGCCATGAAGTATAACGGTGCACTCAACCCCACAAGTTATTTGGAGATTGCGTTCTGGAAGGGGCTTCCTGGCTCAGACACGTGCACAGACACTACAAGTGCAAACACTGCTTTGAAAGAGAATTTGTGCATCCTACCTAGCCACCAATACTTCCAAACGTGGATTAATGTACACGGAGGCTTCCTGGGTGTCTGTGCACCTGCGGTAAAGGTCCCAGCAGTCCTCGAGAGACTACCCTCAGCACGGTTGGGTGTGCATCTCAACACAGGGACCAAAACCACTTGCCCTCTGCTGCTGCAAAGAGTCGCATGTATTAACAAAGTGGGGGGAAAAAAATCCTTAAAAATAAACAAGTGAAATATTTCCTGGAGCTCTAACAGAAACTGAGGGGAGAAGAGTTTCAGTTTTGGGTTGTATTTTGGGTTTTTTTCTGAATGTGAAGAGGGAGTGTATGTATGAAATTGAAGCTGATAATGTGATTTTAAGAAGACCTAAGTCACAAATCTGGGCATGACAGAATAGCCGCAGTCCACCAGACATACCAAACATCTTTGACCTTGGCCTAAAAGCCTCCAGCTCACTTGAATTCTCCTCTGTCATATCTGATTTGGACCACTGAATACCTGTGAAAAATACAAACCCAGAGGCTGTAATCTTCCCTGCTCTAACAGAAATTATACATATATTGATGCTAGCCTTCATGCATAGTAAAAGCAGAGTGGAATACCTTAAAAACACACACGGTCATTACTTGCACCACTTCCACAAATCAAATATAGAATATTCTAAATGCCTCTGTTGGAATAGTAACAGTGAAAATCAAATTTTACCAAGGAAGTACATGGGTGGAGATGAACCATTTTTAAAGAATTTGAAACAGGAGTGAAAAGAGATTACTCTTTTACATGATAATATTGGATAACTGGAAAAGGACATATTTCCTAATTATAGACATAAGCTTTTTTTTCTATAGTCTTTTCACTAGCAAATTTCCCATTCAGTTTTCCCTGAGCAAGATGTATATATAGGATGAGACTGTCGGGTCGTGGGGGCGGGTGTTTGGTTCCTTTTTTTTTTTTTTTTCCCCTCCAATTTCTGCAAATTGCCTGGGCTTGGTTTTGATTAGTTATGTTATACTATAAATCAGTCCAGATGTTTCAGTTATTCTGTAATTTGTTGAGTTTTGGCTCAAGTCTTTTTAAGGTTTTTTTCCTCCATGTAGTGATTGATTTCAAAGTTAGTTCCAATATTTTGTTTAACCACTTCCCTCAGTTATAAGATATAACAGTCTAAAGATCAGAGGCAATACTGCTTAATTAAAAATGTAGAATGGAAAGCTGATTACACTTCATTGTGATTATTACCAGAAAAATACAGGATCTTCTCTGAAAAAATATGGAGATATATATATTTAGTAGATTATTTTAAATGGTTTAAATATTTGTCAGAATTTAAACATGATGAATATGAAGTCTGTGATGCAAATCCAGTATTCCCTATGGGCAGATGACCAATATCGTTACTGTAAAATACTCAGAAGTCTACACTTCAGGCAGGAAATCTTCAGACAATGCAAGGAATTTGCAAACATAGGATTCGGAGTTAATACATACTGCCTTTTCCTCTCCTCTCTCCTCCTCAGTTAGAAATGAAAATCTCACAGATGAGAGATGGTAACTGAGTTTGCACATTTCTATTCTTCTGTGAGTGTAGATAAAAGGAACTTATTTTAAATTGAGCATGAAGGTAGACAATGAAAGATCTTTTTCTTTTAAGATTACTTTGATGTTAATCTTTTTATTTCTCTTGTGTATTACAGGGATCTGTCCTATAACCTGCTGGAAGATTTACCCTGTTTTACTGCATGTAAAAAACTCCAAAAAATGTAAGCGCCAAACTATCCTAAAAAGTGTAAAAAGAGCCATCTATATACAAATTTGTTTGAGCATCATTAACTTGGTTATTGCTGGCCAATTTGACATATCCAAAATACATACTCTTATAGTATATAGAAGTGGATAATAAACACAGTCTAAAACACCCTGAAGTGTCCTTTGAAACTGAGGAGATTCTTACTGCTTTTTCAGTGACTTGCATCACAATGAAATCAGTGAAATCAAAGCGGACACGTTTCGGCAGCTGGCTGCTCTTCGGTCTCTGTGAGTACTGCCCTGGCAGCCATTCACTCGGGTTCTCAAAAACATGGGCTATTATACACCATCCGCTCACTATCTGCCCCAAAACATGCTTGTTTCTGTTTTTCTTAGATCTTTCACCCATTAGGTTATAACTGTGAAAGCAGAATGAACACTGTGAAGTTTAGCGTCTGCGACAATGAATTTGAAGATGTAAACTTAGAGCTATAAAACCTGCTACTTCTAAACTTTTCGCAGTTGGACTAGATGATCATTGCCGGTCCCTCCAACTGACCTGTTCTATTCTATTCTACTCTCTCTATTGAGAGAGACACTGAGCCAGCGCTAGTATCTATTGGCAGATTCATGTAATAATCAGCTCTGGGGAGCGTGAAATCTTTTTATAGAGAACAGTGGCTTAAGAAATAGATTCTAATCATGTGTCAGTTTATAGTTTTCATGCAGATGCGTATGCTAGCAGAGTAATTTTGTTGAGAAATTGAAAAGAGTCTTTGCAGGATCAAACCCATACATCTTTTTAAGAGTTCATTTCAGTTTTTTGACTTTTCAGGGACAGTGAAGATTGAGATTAGGAAGTTAAGCCTATTGACAGCATTTGCTGTTCTTAGTCACATCATGGGGACCTCTTAGAAGTAGTCCATATACCCCACCCTTCTTTCTGCTGCCTCGGGGAGCTGTGAAGCAGACTGAAAAATAACTCTCTGAGACTGCAGAAGGCATTAAGAAGTTCTAGAGAAACTTGTCAGTTTAATAACTAACATTAACAACTGACTAATGTAATTTAAAAACTGAAAAAAGATTTTGCACTTGAGATATGCAGAAGCTTATTGAAAATATTTGCATGTAATTAATACCTTTTTTATATTTAGGCCTCCTAATCAAGTTTATGAAAACTTCCATATTCACTCAGTGGGTATGTAATTTTCCACTCACTTTTCTTGTAGGGATTTAGCTTGGAACAAAATTAAAATTATTCACCCCAATGCCTTCTCCTCTTTACCATCTCTGATCAAACTGTAAGTATTGTATATCTTCGACATTCAAATTTTCACATTTTTCTTGCAAGAGCATACAAAAGATTTAATAACTTAGTGCCCCACTCAGCAGAAATTGAGGCTTTCTCTATTCTAATCTTCTGGTCTGTTGAATCCGTATTTAAATGCCTGCTTTCATGTAGTTCAACTCCCATAGGTATTATGGCAAAGCTGCATGTAACACTGTGTAATCAGAGTGATTTGGGGACCATGAAGCATATCAGTGTATCTGCCTTTCTTCATTCAATTTGTTAGCAGTTTAGTCTCTCTTAGCAGTGGGGAATATTTCCTGTTGTGTATCAGGATTAAGGAATTGGATTCAAAATTAAATAAGAAACATTTTCCAGTAAGCTTCTTTATTTCATTGTTCCTCATCTGATGAAACAGTTTTTCTTCTTTAGCAACATCAGCCAGAGTAGTTAGTGGTCAAAACATTGGCAGTCCAGTTTTGCAGGCCTTGTTCACAAGCAGTGCTCAGTCCTCACTAACTTGTTCCTGTTTCCCACTGTCACTGTAATGCCTCTTTAAGGTGAATCCCTGAGGCGTTGGGTGTATGGGAAAGACGTGAAAGAAGATTCCTCTGGAAACATCCTGCTCCGTGGTTGTCACAAAGATACACTGGTGGGCACCTGCTCACAGATAATCCAGTAGCTGCTGGGAAACCTAAATTTGGAAAGGGGTGTTCATTTCTGTTGATGTGCAAAGCCTCCCCTCTGAATGCTGCACTGAAAAATGTCCATAAAGAGAATATTGCCTATGGCATCCCTTTTTGGGGGCCCTCCTCAGGACTTTCCTATGGAAGAAAGGGTGAGGGAACATACTGCCAGCAAGACATTGTAGCTTTGGTCAGTAGCACAGAACATTCAGGGAGGGTTAAAGAAAAAGCCCTTTAACACACACACACACAGAGCAACGCCGCGTACCAGTGTCTCCTGAAATGCTAGTCTGTAACCCTGGTGTGACCGCAGTCAGTGGTCATT